TTAAGAGCCTAGATGAATTGGGACTCACCTAATATTTGTTAATTAAATGGCAATGTCTGATTAGAAAAACATATTAGGTTAAGATACACTGGTTTCAACCAAGCATCTGACACAATCTCCTATTATTCTGAGGTGACATTTCCACACTCAGCATTTCCTAGATGACAATTATTATAAAGAGGGCACAGGAAAACAACTTGGAAAAAACACTCAAATTTGAGGGTTCAAAACATAGAGAAATAAATACTGTGTTAGATAACAGAAATAAGACTGTGGGACTCATCTCAATAGGCTGAGATGGATCAAAATAAGATGGAATGAAGGTAAAATAAATGTATAGTCCTATGGTTAAAATTCTGTAACAAAATCTGTTGATAAAGAAACTTTTTGGTCTCCTTGCATGACTGATTTCTCCTCCTTCCTCTCCTCTGCTGACATTTCCCCATCTTCTCTGTCACTCAACAGCGGGAGTGTCCACCGTTTAGTGCTCAGGTCTTGGCTCTTCTCCACAGACAACTCTCTAAGAAATGTCACCTTCTCCCATGGCCTTAAACATCATTTATATACCAGAAACTTCCAAATCTGTATCTCTACCTACAAACTTTCCTTTTAATTGGACCATATATGTCCTTGTTTTCTGAAAATCTCCAATTCCGTATCTGATTCCTTAAACTTACTACTTTCCTGGTCTCAATCCTCCTACAGTCTTCTCTATAAGAGTCAAGAGAAATTTTATTCTACCAAGTGCTCAGACCAAAAAGTTGGAAATCATTACTGATTCCTCTCGTCTAACTTACCATATACACTATAAACCAAAAATAAAGCTGTAAGTTCCTCAACTGACTGAAAGACCCTCCTCTCAGCCAAGGGCATTGCAATGCAGACCTGAAAATTCAGTGTAGGCAATGATGGGGGGCAGGAGGTGGGATATGCCTCATTATAACCTCCTCCCTTTGAAATTCAGGCACAGCCGAACAGCACTGACACTAAACAGATTTTAAGATTGATGAGACAGACTTTTTGTAGCTATAAGATACCAAACTCCAGCCTGATCTCGTGTAACACTGTCACAAGACAGATAGCAGGCCCCGAAAGGAACTGACGTATTTTACCACTAATATATTTCTTTGACATATTTTGCAATGGTTCTGCAAAGCTGTCTCTTGTGGAGAAAATCTACATTCTGTAAAGAAGCCCCTTCCCTTTCCAGGTCTTTTCTCTGATCCAGGAGAGTCTAAGAGTCTGGCACCTTTTTAAGGCAAAGAGCTCTGTAACCTGCCACTTGGAGGCTTCATTTGCATGATAAAACCTTGGTCTCCAAAATCTTACCTTAAGCCAGATGTGACTTTCTACTGATTCCAGGTCTTTGGTAGTAACTCTTTCAACCAACAGCCTATCAGAAAATCTTTGAATCCACCTATGACCTGAATGCTACCCACCCCCCATGCTTCCAGCTGTCCCACCTTTTGAGATAAAACCAAGGTACATGTACTACCTGATGCCTTATGTCTCCCTAAAATACATAAAAGCAAGCTGCAGCCCAACTATTTTGGACACATATTAGAACCTCCTGAGTTTGTGTCACGGGCATGTCCTTAACCTTGTCAAAATAAACTTCTAAGTTGACTGAGACAGGTCTCGGAAACATTTTGGTTTACAAACCCATAAACAAAGGTTGTTCTTTCTTCTTAAACACCCAACCTCTGATCATAGTTCACCATTACAAACCTAACCTTAGACATCACCCTCCCCATCACACTCCTAGACTGCCCCTGGGTCTACCTGTATTACAACCCTAACCCTAGACATCACCCTCCCCATCACACTCCTAGATTGACCCTGCATCTACCTGTATTACAACCCTAACCCTAGACATCACCCTCCCCATCACACTCCTAGACTGCCCCTGGGTCTACCTGTATTACAATCCTAACCCTAGACATCACCCTCCCCTGCCTACACTCCTAGACTGCCCCTGGGTCTACCTGTTTCCACTCTTACTGTGTATACTCTCAATTCAGGGTCTCTGCAGTTGCCATCTCCTCCTTCTGCTGATTCTCTCATTCCCTTCCAATTCCTGCTCAAATTTCCCTGAAGAAATTAACCTCTCCTGACCACTGCAGATGTGCAACAAGCCAATAAGCCTCCTCCAAACCTGCCATCACTCTCCAGCCCCTTATGCTGCTTTATTCTTCCATGTATTTATCACTGCCTGACAGGTGTGCACACACGCAAACACACATATACACATCATATAAATTTTCTGAGCTGTTTCCACCACTCCCCTCTATGCTATAAGAACCTGAATACTGTCTATTTTGCTCCCCATTGTAGCCACAGCACCTTAGAACAACACCTGGAACACAAGTGCTCAAAAATATTGGTCATTGAATGATGAGTAAGAAGACAGAGAGACAAAGAGAGAAAGGGAAAATGGGGAAAAGGGAGGGGGAGAGACATAAGACCCACCGGTCTGACTTGACTTCATGAAAAAATAATGATAGTTTATTCAAAGCTCAATAACCAAAAATGCAATGTAGTTTAAAAAAACTAATTATCCATTGAAACTGTATTGACAGATACATAGTTTCAAACTAAGACAGGTATCTGTCCCACCTCCTTTCACCAGGGTGAAGACACAATTAGTCTGTGGTGCTATGTTAAGGTCGCAGTGTTTTAAATATGTATTAATAATGTATGGTTTGTCCAAAGAATGTCGAACCGCATCTTAAGGAGGCATCTGGAAAATACAGTTTGGAAAGTAAGATGTTTTACTGGAAAAGAAATAACATCATCCCCATACTCAAAGAGTTTGCATATGAAATAAAAGTCAAAACAAATACTGGGGAATGGCCATTCTGGGAGGCTGCTTGGTTCTAAATGAGAAAGTACTTCATAATAATTAGAACTGCCTAGGCTGGGCTAAGTAGCTCAAACCGATAATCCCAGCACTTTGGGAGGCTGAGGCAGGAGGATCACCTGAGCCCAGGAGCTCGACACCAGCTTTGGCAACATGGATAAACCCTGTCTCTATTTAAAAAAGAGAAAACAATACAAAAAATTAGCCGGGCATGGTGGCACAGGCCTGTAGTCCCAGCTATTTAGGAGGCAGAGGTGGGAGGATCATCTGAACCCAGGAAGTCAAGGCTAAAGTGAGCTGAGACTGTACCACTGTACTTCAGCCTGAAAGCCTGGATGATAAAGTGAGACTCTGTCTGAATTAAAAAACAAAAAGTATATGAAAAAAGAGAAGTGGGAAAGAAAGCAAAAACAAAACAGAACTGCCTGAGAGTATAACCATCGCCATTAGTGGAACTAAAGAGCATGCTTTCTGTCAGGGATGTGTTAGAACAGAAGCCCTGCGGCCAGTCACCATCTTCCAAAAGGCTGTCCCAGGAATTTCTAAATCTATTTCATAAAGGAAACTCTGAGTATTAATCAAATAAGCATTGATCAAGATATGAGGTACATTTTTTCAAAAAAGCTTTATAGAGCTCTTGGAAACTGATACCATTTCTAGGGTATCAGCTTATGCCTTTAATATTTCTCAATTAGAAATGTTCTTTTCTCCAAATTTGGCATAATGTAAGAGAATCTTATAAATAATAGCAAAAAAAAAACCAACCCCACTACATATAGTTTCATCATTTTTTTTTCTAACAGCCTTATAAGACAGTATGGTACTGTCAATGACACTGTCTGAACACATGGCAGCTTTGGCAATATCAACACTGTAATATTTTATGACTCTGCCAAAGGTCACTTTTCAAAGTACCTATCTTCTCCTCAACTGTCACTTTTTAGCATTTTCTGCTGTTCCTAGCAGCTGCTGTTCACTCTTCTATCACATCCGGGTCCCTTTTGGGCACCGAGACCAAAGTTGTGAGCTCCACAAATGTGAAATTAATAGCAAAGGCACCCAGTGAAACCCCGAGACTCACAAATGTGAAATTAATAGCAAAGGCACCCAGTGAAACCCCGAGACACACAAAAGTGAAATTAATAGCAAAGGTACCCAGTGAAACCCTGAGACTCACAGAAACCTCAAGTCTCCTACATTGCTGTGCACAGAAGGAATTCTGCTCTCTCCTACCTCCAAATCCCCTACCCCCCAGCACAGGCCCAGGTCATTTTAGAGATTTCTTTCTTCAGATGATCAAAAATAAAGGAATATAGCTGCATATGTGATTCTATTAACAGTTTTTCAGTTTATATCTTACAATAAAAAGTGATATATAAGGTTGCATTAAAGTCAAACTTACTATTTTCAGTATTTAATCTGAAGATCTTTATCTGCATAATACAGAAAAACTAAGATACTTTTTTCAAATGTAATCACTTATACTTTTATAGCATAAACAATATGCTAAATGCTTTCAGTTTTTAAGCTTGCTAAGACTCTTAAAGATAACACTAATTATTTCTCTAGGACATGAAAATAGTACCTTTAAGATTTCTAAAAGTTCTAAGCAATATCATGCTTTCAACACATGAGTTGTCATCTTTTGTTCTCCCGAAAAGAAAGTGCATGAACTCAAAGGCAGAGGTTGGGCAGGTAGTGGACATGAGCGAAGCCAGCCGCAGAGGACTGGGGCTGACTGGAGAGCATCATGCATCTGAAGGCAGCTTCCACTCCTCGCCCCGAGAAGACTGCCACCCTATGAGAGTGCTGTGTTGGTGTTACCTTACCTCCTGGCTCAAAAGAAGCCAGAAATCCAGTCTTTATATACAGTTTATAAATGTCAGCAACTGATCCAGAAAACCCCATAAGCAGGTGCAGACCAAACAAAATCCACCTGTGTGCTGTACTCAGATTTGAAGCTGCTATTTGCAACCTCTCTACTGACTTTATTCCATATTAATGAGTGACACTTTGGAGAGGGAACTCAGTTTTTGCCATTATTTTTCTAATTCTTTAATGTGTTAAGAGTACTGAAAAATACACAAAAAAGATTCATTTCCTATATTGCAGTAGTAGAAATAATATTCACATTACTTACCCTGCTGACTTCCTTAGGAGCCGCTTCATCTGGGGACAGAGAAGGAAGGGGGAAAACACAATTAGAGACTGAGTAAGTTTTAAAATACAAAACGTGTCATTTGCTTTCAATAAACTTGAAGGGTTTTTTGCAACGCTCCATCTTACGAAATTTATGAATTTGATTTTTTTAAACTGTAAAGGTTGAACATAACAAATTACAAGTTAAGAAGTATACCCTAATTTCACAGGGAAAATGAAATACCACCACCAGATTACTTTTCTAGAGGTTCTAAAATGGATATGATATGCCTGCAAGAATGGCTACACTGTGGTATATTCAGCTACACGTGCACACAATGGGGTTTATAACACTTGCAGTATTCTATACAATACAACCCACATGAATATCCCAAATGACCTTTAACACTCTTGCTTCGAAGGCTCATTTCAGCAGACCCGGGGCTGGTGTGAGCTGTTCTGGTGAAGTAAGAAATGTACCTGCATGGCACTCTGGTCAGGGCATAAAACACACCCGCTAATAATAGTACTGCTTTGTTCTATGTGTCTGAGGAGTTGGGGGGCTGTTTATGCCAGCTTGTCAGCATTGCTGATTGGTAAAGTGAGACTGGGGTGGTTTGCACAGGGTCTAGGTGAGAATCCCTGGAAGGCTCTCCCGCTGGGGCTGGCTACAGGCAAGAAAATGTCTGTGTGACCAACAGGGTGTAAAACAAGCTGGCAGATAGCCCCGCTTGGTCCCCTGGCTCTGAGTGTTGCACACACAGGTCATGATTATGACCTGTGAGAAAGTGTGTGTCCCCAACAGAGGAGGGGCTGCTGGAGCTCAGCCTGGCATTAACAGACTCCTTCCTGGAGGCAGGCTTCAATCTAGTGCTATTGTATATTGTATCTTTTTCCTGTAATAAATTCTAGATCTGTAAGCAGTGTCATTTCAGTTCCTGTGTCTTTCTAAGCAATCAAACCCTGTTGTCTGTCACCATCAGAACGAACTTAACGTACCAAAAATGGAATGTACTCAGTGTCACTTCAAAGCACAGCCTAACTTAACCTGACACAGCTAAAAATATGCCCAGGTCTCCGTCCCACAACTTCAGGCAAGGTTGTAATTCTCCTTTCTCCTTCAATATCCATGTTAGCGTAACCACTGAGTCCCAATGATTCCAGTTTTCTCTCATCTTTCTCAGATTTACAGCTTATCACTCATTCCCTCAGATGACACCACATCTAGTCCCAAGTCACATATCAACCAGTATCTTCCAAACTGGTCCCTGAACAGAGTATGTTCCCAGTATGTGCAATCACGCCTATGCACGCATGCACACACACACGCACGCGCACGCACGCACGCACATACTTGCTCTCTCTTACGCACTCAGTTTGTCTTTCAGAAATTTTCCTTCTATGATGCCCCTAAAATGCTTCAGAACCTAAAATAACTAGATTTCAACACAGGCTGAACACTGACTTTACTTGAGGGTCTTTTTAAACAGTGATACTTTGGAGAGGAAACTGAGTTTTTTGTTT